CGCTTCTGAGGCTTTGCTCTGGCAAAGCCTCAGAAGCGCGGGAACCCGCCTGGTGCCCCTGGTCTGCTGGAGGCGGTCTCCAGCAGACCAGGGGCACCAGAGCAGCTTACGAACAGGGCTTTCTCGCCCCGACTTCCGGGGCGAGAAAGCCCCGTTCGTAAGTGCGGATCAGACGTAAGTCGGATCCGCGTAAGTCGGGGACTGCCTGTAGATCATTTTAAAATGTACATTCACAATTTAACAAGCAAGAGAAAAACTGTGCATGAAGTCTAAGCAAGTTGCTCTCTGAGTTGCTGCCTAGGAGTTCTCTTGAGGCCAGACCTACAAAAGGATTTAAGAATCTCAGTCTTGCTTTTATACACCTACTGTGATCCACAACTCTTCCCCCACACAGATGCTGCCTCACACAGACATCTAAACTCCCTTGACATGTAAACTTTTATTGTAAAAGCTCTGTAGGCATCTCAGTTTTTCCATCAGGGCCTGCATGCTGTTGCCTCACTCTAGGAAGAACAAGTATCTAAACACTAGCATGATTGCAAACCAGGGGAATATAGGTGTTCCTCTGCTTTTCTTGTCTACAGGTCCTGTCTGTAGCCACACTCAGAGGCTGCCTAACTCCACACACAATCTCTGGAGAAGGGGACAACCCCCGTTACAATCCAATGGTTAGTGTACTCACACAGGGTCTGGAAGACCCTAGCTCTGTTCTCCCCACATTTGAAAAGGGATTATCAACCGGCATTTTCCACTGCTCAGGTAAGTGTCCTAGCCGCGGGAGTAGTCTGAAAGAGGAATCTCTCAGCTATCTCTTGTTGAAGCTGTTTCACTTTAATTGAACCCAGAGAGTGAGAATCAGTTTTCCAATCACTTCTCAGAGTGAAGAGCTGAACTGAGATCTCATGTTTTGCTAGGTAAGTCCAGTAACCTGTGGGAGAAAGATGGGTCCTGCTTCCTGGGTCTGTTTTGTGTGGACTGGGTAGGTACTTAACTTCTCACGAGAAATAACGTAGTCACCTAAACTGTTCCTCTCCAGGGGAAGGTTTTTGGCTGTGAATTACAAGCTGAAACAGGCACCTCCCTGCAGCTTGCATTTAGGAGCTGAATTCAGTGAGGAGGGTGGTTAGCTCAGGTAGCTCTCTACCTAGCACACTAGCTTTTTGAGGATGTTTTTAGGGGGCAGATTTTAAAAGTATTTAGGCACTAATGGAACTTTGAAAACTCATTCATTTCAATGTGTGTTAGGTGCCTAGGTGGCTTTGAAAATACTGCAAGATGCCTATTTTTTCTTTTAAATCAGGCCCTAAATGCCTATCTTTCCTTATGTATTGCATAGGGAGTTGATGTGCCTAACTCAGGCTAAGTGTTTTAGTGATTTTTCTAGGCACCTAAACATCCATTTGTGGATCTAGACCTGAGTTCCAGGGCTTTCTGTGAATACTGAAAAGCTGGAGGGCCAGGGGACTGAAGGGTACCTTCCCCAATGCAGAGGCACAACTTACACGCAACAAAGATCACAGAGGGTAAGAAACAAGTTGGAATAAGTGATCTAATTGACATTCACATATTCCAAGGCCAGAGAAGGGACCATTGTGATTATCTAATCTTACCTCCTGTATAACACAGTCATAGAACTTCCCCGAAACTATTCCGAAAGTAGATAATTTAAACATTCAACTAGATTAAGAATTCAGTGATGGAGAATCCACCATTACCCTTCATAAATGGTTCCAATGGTTAGTTACTCTCACTCTTAACTTACACTTGTTTTCCAGTCTGAATTTCCTTTCAACTTCTACTGGACTGTTATATCTTTCTCTGCTAGAGTGGACAGCTTGTTATTAAATACTAGTGGACTTACCTAGCATTGCCCGGGTCCTTCAGGGTAGGGCCTTGGGGATATAGGGTAAGGGGGGCTGGAGGCTAGTGGCTTGTTATCCCCCCACCCCCCGACCTCCTTACACTTGTTTTCCAGTCTGAATTTCCTTTCAACTTCTACTGGACTGTTATATCTTTCTCTGCTAGAGTGGACAGCTTGTTATTAAATACTAGTGGACTTACCTAGCATTGCCCGGGTCCTTCAGGGTAGGGCCTTGGGGATATAGGGTAAGGGGGGCTGGAGGCTAGTGGCTTGTTATCCCCCCACCCCCCGACCTCCCCCCACCACCAC